GGGAAGAGGGCTTTCCTCTGAATGCCCACGACATAAAATTATCCGCAGCAGATTTCCATCCTGCATTTCAAATGATGACTCCAAGCTCCTTTTTCAGACTTTGGGTCGTGAGAATTTGCAGAGGGGAGCTCAAAGCAAACATCACATAACATGTAAGAGAATCATCAGGGCTCGAATATTATTAACCTCCTCACATAGACCAAGAAATCTTGGAGATGGCAAGAACTGCGGATGCTGTAGTCAGAGACAAAACACTGTGGAGCTAGAGGAACACTGCAGACCAAACAGCATCAGAGGAGCAGTAAAGTTGACGTTTCAACTCTGGACACTTCTTCAGAAAGGGCACCTTGGTGAAGAAAGGTACCGATCCGAAACGTCAACTTTCCTGCTCCTCTGATGCTTCCTGTCCTGCTGTGTTCCTCTGGGTCTATGCTGTCTTGTCTCTGAAACACTAACTGAGTTCACTCAACACCCAGAGGCCGCTTGCAGTATCAGAGAGTTCACTGTAGATATCTCCCTCTCTCTCTCACTGAGCAGAAGCCAATAAAGAGGGCTTTTTAAATGATTCACCTTCAACATTTCACCTGCTTGTTATGCTGGACTGTGGTCAATTCAAGCCATCTCTTCCAGCACAACCTTCTGCTGCGGCTGAGAAATGTACTGTTCACCCCCTTTATTTCTCCCACCTCCCGAGACAAAGTCCAGAGGCTATTCAGCAGAATTCAGCCTGTGTGCGACAGGCTTGGTTTTCGCTGTGAAAAGTATTTCCTGGAGACAATCTTCCTTGGCATGGAGTAGCCCCATGGGACACTGTTCCAAATAGATCCCAAAACATAGAGAGCCACAACCGAGACACCGAGTTCTCTTGCATAAATAATCCATCATGAGAGGACGATTTTCGGACATGGAATGCTTCCCCAGTCTTCTTCTCCTTGAATATTTTGCTCAGACACTACTTGAAATGCCAAGTGTATTGTATTTTTTTTGGCTTAGCAGTATTGTTAGGCTACAAGTATCTAATGGGTTATTTATGGTCTGATCGAAATGACAACAAGAAGACATGTGCCCTTCAATATGAAACCAAATCTTTAACTTAATCTAGTTACGACAGATGAGAGGCACATGCAATGCAATTAGTTAATCTGTTTGCTCATATACACAAACAAATGAGTCCCATATCGCCTTCTATCCTTTGTAGGTCATAACGAAGATGGCACTTAGATCTGTATCAGATTATGTGGCACCTAGCATAATGGTGAGGAGTCTCATGAGTGCAGCAAAGTGCCTGATGTTAATACATTTCTGAATCTAAGATTTTGTGCTGAATCTCCATTTCATAACGATGACAACACTTTTATATTCTTCAAAACAGGCTGAGAAACAAAGCCAGGTGGTCCCGCGTAAATGCAAATGAGGACATATCTCACAGACAATTCAATGTCATGAGCAATTAACGATCTGGTTGGAAGGTAACATTTTCAAGCCTAACATTACAAGTCCCTTCAAGACACTCACCATCCTGACTTGGAAATACATTGCAGTACCTTCAGTATTGTTCGAACAAAACCATGCAACTCCCTACCTGACAGCCTTGTGTGGGAGCCCCTGTAACAGACAGACTGCAACTGTTTAAGAATGCAGTTCACCGCCAACTTTTCAAGGGGCAACTAGGGATGGGCAATAATTGCTGGACCAGAGAGTGGCACCATGTCCCAGTGATGAGTAAAACAAAAGGATGAGAGAGAATGAAAGTATTCAAAGGAAAGAAAGAACAATGCAATATAAATAGACAGCGACTGACAGAGAAAAAGAGAAAATATTAAGATATAGTTTGACAGATCAATGGAGGCAATTGGAGACAGTAAAAAGTAATGGACAACAATGACGTGAATGGGAAAGGGAGAACGTAAAACTGCTGGATTCAAATGACATACAATACTGGTTCCCTAATGTCCTTCGGGGTGGGATATCTGATCCCCATTCCCAGTTATGACAACAACCACAATGACGAAAACAGAGAAACATTTACTACAAAACCAGGATCCGAATTGGAATTTAAAGTTCACCCATTCCTACAGTGGGGTCTAAACACCGTCCTCTAATTGACCTGTGTCCTCCTAGTCAACTAATACTGCTAATGGGCCACAGTACCCAACATGTCAACTAATGTTTTGGAAATTTATTTTCTTGTCTTCTATTTCAAAACAAGCAAACACAGTAATATTGAATTGTTAATCATGCTTTAGCAAGATTTGCCTGATGGCACAGAGAAAATGTCACTGTGGCTGGAATGCAGAGCGCATTAACATTTTGCACAGATAGGTTCAATTCCCAACCAATGCAAATTGTAAAATTTGAATGAAGCAAAATCTTGACATAAAATCCCACCTGTTTCACGAATGCCCTTTAGGAAGAGAAAGACGCTGTCTCTACCCAGTCTGGTTTAAACATAACTTCAGATCAACGGTAGAGTGATGATTGTTAATTCTCATCTGAAATGACCCAAACGAGATGTTCAGTTGTCTCATTCCCCGAGCAAATAAGGCTCGGTAAGAAATGTCAGCCCAGTCAGTGACTCACACACCTCATAAATAAAATATGCCCATGTTCAGTTGGAGCCTTGCCATTGACGGCATTTCACATCCAGTCATTTGGATTTCTTTGGATCTGGAGGTGTTGTGATTATTTGCCATCCTGTGCAAATGAGATCAAATTTTATTGAAGGTTGCTTGGATAAGGTCACAAAATCATGACAATATAGAGGGAGGCTATTCAACACATTGAGTCTGTACTGGCTCTCTGGATTGCAATCCATTCAGTCTTAATGACCACACGATATCCATAGCCTGGCCAGATTATTTCCTTCAATTGTCTGTGCAAAATCCTTAAACTCGCTTCATGACTGCTGCTTCATCCACCAATGGAGCGAACAAGGTTCATTCATTACCATTCGCTACCCTACACCCCTGAAACTTCTAGAGAACCTTAAGTCAGTGTTTACTTGGTCCTTATGCTATTTGCTTATGAGGATGGATATTGTGTACCTACTGTCATGGTATTGCACACCACTTTCAAATCTCTGCTCGAGCTTCTTCGTTTCAAGTTAGACAATTGCAACCACGTCAATCGAACCTTGCAGCTAAAATATCCTACTGCTGGAATGAGGCCTTGGTGTCCCTTCTACACCAGTCACTGTAAGTAAGCATGCATGCATGGGAAGTTGGCCTTCAGAGCAAAAGGTTTGGAGTACAGGAGTAGGGATGTCTTGTTGCAATTGTACAGGGCCTATGTGAGACAACCCCTTGAGTATCCTGTGCAGTTTAAATCACCTTATCTGAGAAATGATGTTCTGACTATGGAGAGTGTGCAATGATAGTTAACCAGACTTATTCTTAGTGTGAAAGGACTGATGCATGAAGAGGAAATGGATCATTTAGGGTCATATTCACCATAGTTCAGAAGAATGTTTTGATGTGTGTTTCATCGAAACTGAAGAAATTCAAAAAGGACTAGACAGGGCAAACACATGGAGGATGTTGTTATGATGGGGACCTCCAGAACAAGGGGTCACAGTTGAATGATACGGGGGTAGGGAACTTAGGGCTGACATGTAGAGGAATGTCTTCACACCGAGACGGGTGAGCCTGTGGAACTCTCTATTTAAGGATCAGTTTCATGCAGAGCAAGAATGGCAGAACAGCCCAAACAACAGATCCCAGCCCCTTTTTCCTTCTTCTCAATGGTGTGTGGGTGGGGGACAGGGAACACATGGCTAAGGTGCAATTAACATTGTTTGTCCCCTCCTTCATAATGCTGCAAATGAGGTGCCCAAATAATATGGGATGTAGCCATTCACGAATATGTCTCAATTCTGTCAAGCACCATGCGGGATGGAAATTAAATCATCTCCTTGCTCTGAATCAATTTTATGGGAGTGGGCACAACAGATCGGAGTTGAGCTTACAACATTCATGAACGTACAAACATACAAAGTCGAAATAGAAGTATACCATTATCCGCAATCCTGCTCAGCCATTTTGTTTATGTTTCAGATTCTTCATTCCCAATTTTCCTTTCATTTGCTTTACTGTCAAGAATCCATCTACTTTCACCCTAAAAATATTCAACGACAGACCCGAAACCCACATCCGCTTTCTGGTGTGAGTTCCAATCTTGCACAACCCTCAGAGAAAACATAACTTCTCCCCATCTCATATCATGGCAAGCACTAATTCTAAAAGAGCGACACCACTATGACCCCTCAGTCTCAACAGACATAGTTGGGAAACATTCTTTCCATGTGCAGTTAAAGCTGTTTGGGATCTTAGATTCTGTAACGCATTAGGTTTCTGCTCAGAGCCACATCAGAAACCAATATTAGGGAACATTTATTTCCTGTTCTAGTCAGGAGAGAGGGAATGTTAATTTTAAATTTCTAATCTTAAGAACAACGACGACAGTTAAACATGTGTTGTCTCCGATCGGCAGAGATATTGATCGGGATCAGCGCTGAAATTCTGCGTCTTTGACATTTGCATGACAATTCCTGAAAGAGCACTGCTTCGAAGAAATTCTGATCTCACAGTAATCCAGTTCAACTGTAAAGTCCACAGATAAAGGTAGAAAACAGTGGACATAATTCTAATTATGGGCAGCAATGTTCGCGAAAGAGTCAACTTTTCAGACTAATGATCAATTTTTGGCAATTTATTGGATGTATTCCAGCAATCACCATATCTCTGGTGAAATTCGAGCCCATTTTCTATTCATCCCACAGCAGAGATGGACAGCTTTCTCAACGTTTTCTCCAGCCTTAGTTGGTATCTGTCTAAACTCTCACTTGCCCATTTTTTTTTGGGAGAGCGATTCGTTAATTGTTCACACAGCAAGACTTGCAATGAATCAATGTTTTGGACAAATATAATCGGACTGAAGTCTGTGGTGCTGATAACTTACTTCTTCCTCCGTGGCAATTGTAGATTTTGGAATATAAGAGAAATTTAATTCACATGTTTCAAACTCTTCAACCTGTTCCATAATTTATTGATTTGCTCGAAGGGGTATTTCACTGAATTCTTCAGCTCTTTCCTGAATTTAGCCTGGCTCACAGCATAAATAAACGTGTTGGTGCAGGAGCTGAGCACTTGCAGCATCTTCGCTGTGCGATCTGTGATAAAGTAAGGGTCTTTGTCGGAGTAGAAGTAATATCGGATATCTACAATTCGTCCATAAATACTGAACAGAAGCCGGGTCATCCACAAAAGCACAAAACTGCTCGATATACTGAACAGCAAAGTGATGGACTTCTGCCGGTTTTGCAACTCCACATCTTTGTGCTTCTCTCCACTTCTTTGGCCACGCAGACACCTGCGGATTTGACTGCTCACTAAAATACGTCTGACAGTCAGCACATTGAACAGCAAGATCAGAAAGAATGGCACACTAGGGGTTAAAATGTAGTTGATGATTTCAAATGCAGCCCATGCAGGGGATGTAAAATAACTCGATTCACTGATGCAACCCCATTCAATATTGTCAATAATGTATTCTGAGTCATTTGCAAAATACCAGGGTAGAGATTCCAGGCAGCCCAGCACAGTCACCGTCCCTAGCAATACTGCTGCAGTTCTCTCAGTGCAAAATTTTGTTTTCAATGTCTCATAGCAAATGGCCACAAATCGATCAAAAGTGAATATGACTGTGAACCAGACAGAAATCACTGTGGCTGCTGATGCCAGGGCAGAAAAAAGACTGCACATGGGAGTAAGTCTTGCGAATGAATTTGGTAAATAAATTGGAACAGTGAAACAAAATATGGCATCAAAGACACCAACAAGGAGATCAGCCACTGCCATTCCAATCAAGTACCAAGTGAGGCACCTGGACAGACCACACTTTCCTCGGGACAGGATGATAATTGCCACCAAGTTAACTGTGAGGGAAGAGTTTGAAACAGAAGTAAATATTTTCAGGTCTTGTCCGATATCAAACAACAATGTAACAGAACCTCGGGCAAAATGGACAGCTGTGATGTTGCAAGACAGGTGTATACTGAAGTATAACATGCTTTCCAATAATAACACACTTGAAAGACAATGACTACAGTGCACTTTGGAATTCATGGCACAAACAAATAAGGTAAGCAAATGAGGTCAATACTCCATCATTAATGTTCAAATGAATTTCTTGGAAGATGAAGGAGCAGATATAATGGCAGTATTTCATGATTATAAACAGTCTTTGTGCAAAAAACACAATGATAAGTCATGACATTTAAACAGCTAAATTATCACCAGTTTGCATCAGGAACACTTGCAAAAGCAGCTTACCAGGAACACCAATGGCTGAAATAAGAGGATAGAAAACATCTTCTATTTGCCAGACAATTGGATATGCCATTTCTGAGATTAGCAACAACTTCAGTTGTTCTAGGTCTCACACTGCTGGCAGGAACTGTGAACTGATCTATTCTTATCGATGCGAATTATATAGAGGGTAAGCCTCCAGTGATACAGTTACAGCTGACATCGCTATTAATAACACCAACTTGAACAAACACATTACATCGACAGTTCTGACTATGATGTGATTACGATGGTGGGCAAAACACAACCATCTCAGGCTTCAGGAGTCAACATTATTTCCACCATTATGCAACGATGCTAAAAGAGCATGCAGAATAAACTGATCCCATAAGTAATGAATCGATTCATTTTGATACTTTTTCTGTAAACCATGGTCCTTTTTGTTTCAGTTAACTTAACTGTTGCTGCTCTGAAAGGTATACAGAATCCAGAAACACAGCTTCATTCTGGTTCTGCAGCCAGTTGGTGAAGGCAAATGTTTGAAGTCAATTTTTACTCAGTTTATGATTTACCTGTCAGGTGGAGAATTGCGTACGTACACGTCCTAACTCTGAAACACAACTCCAGTGTCAGTACATGACACATTTTGCAATGAGGCAATTGATACCCATTTCTCTAACCCCAACCCTAATCCTAATTCTAATCCAAACCACAACCCACTTTACACTGAGGTGTACTTTATACAATTAGCTCAGAAATTGAGTATGATCTTTCTTTCTGTGCCTCTTCATTTATATATTGGTAATGTCAAAAATATAATCTGAGAGGCAACGCTTTGCTTTTTTTTTAAATGCACTCATGGAACTGGGGCCGTTGATTGGTTCAACACTTATCATCATCCCAAAATGACAGTTTAGGAGCAGCTGGTGTTCTGCTTACATGCACTGCTGCATTCGTTGAGCTGTAGATAGACCCACAATATCATAATTGGTAACATGGAATTTAGTCCCAGGATATCTGAAGGGATGAGATTCAGTATGAGAACTGAATTTAATGTTAACACGTCAAGGGGCAGTGTATAGTTATTCTGCTATTGGAGGTGGTCATTGCCTGACATGTGGTGTAAATGGCACTTCCCACACATTACCCTAAGCCTCAACATTGTCCAGAAGATGTGCAAGGACTGCTTTGGTTTCTGAGGAGTCGTGAATGATGCTGAACATGCAATCATCATCAAGCATCGCAATTCTGGCGTTATGATAGAGGGAATTTCATTGATGAATCAGCCGTAGATGTTTGGATACAGAAAATTCCCCTGCAGAACTCCTGTGCAGTTGCGATGAATGATCTCCAACAGCCTGAGACTATCTTCTTACATGTCAGATATGACTCCAACTAGCCAAGTGTTTGAGGTTGGTTGGCTCGCCGAGCTGGTTTGTTGTTCCGCAAACGTTTCGTTACCGTACTTCGTAACATCCTCAGTGCAGCCTCTGATGAAGCGTCGGTGTGTTTTCCTGCCTAGTTTTTAAACCCTGGGGTCCGTTGAGATGGATTGCCTCACTTCCGTGTTTCCTCCGTCGTGGAATGTATATGAGGTCGAATTCAATGTGTTTATTAATAGCATGTTTCGTGGAGTGCCATTGCTTCCAGGAATTCTCGTGCTTGTTTCTGCCTAGCCTGTCCCAGGATCTTGGTGTTGTCCCAGTCGAAGTCATGGTTCTTCTTGTCCATGTGGATTGAGATGAGTGAGTATTGGTTGTGTCTTTTTGTAGCCAGTTGGCGTTCATGTACTCTTGTTGTTAGTTTCCTTCCTGTTTGTCCGGGCATCACTGAGCAGATAATTGCTAATTTGATGCTGCGTGATAGCACTCTTGTTGAAACCGTCAATCACTTTACTGATGATCAATAGCAGCCTGATGGGGCGGTAACTGGCCAAGTTAGATTTGCCGATTTCTATTTTATGGGAAATACCTGGGCAATTTTCCACATTGCTGGGCAGGTGCCAGTATTGCAACAATACAGGAAAGCATGTCTGCGTTTCAGCATGCTCTGGAACACAAGTCTTCAACACTGTCGTCAGGGTTCATAGTCTTTGTAGTATCCGGTGCTCGCAGCCATTTCTTGACATCACGTAGATGAATCAAATGGCTGAAGACTGGCATCTATGTTGCTGGGGGCTCTTTGGACGAGGCAGAGTTAAATTGCACACTGAGCACCTCTGGCTGAAGACTATTGCTAAGGCTACAGCCTTATATTTTGCACTGATGTGCTGGATCTCGCAGCTCAGCGTCCTCCTCTTGTGAGTTATTTGATTGTCCACCACAATTCCCAAATCGGCGTGGCAGGACTGCAGAGCTGATTTGTTGATTTTTGGTCACATAACTCTGTCTCTCATTTGTTGCTTTGGCTGTTTGGTAGGCAAGTAAGAGATGGTAGGAACTGCAGATGCTGGAAAATCTGAGATAA